TGGGCGGAGTCGGCCATGTGTCAATGCCGGGTCGTTTCCAGTCAAAGTGTTTGAGGGAAACAGCAAAAGCAGAAGGTATGAAACAAGATTTGAAAATCTATGTTAGCGCTGAAAAGTAGGAAGTGAAGGTAAATTTGGTTTGAAAAGGGCTGAATTTAAAGTGAAGCGATAACATTTCTCAGCAGCGGTCAACTTTTTTACCAGCATTGGTGGTAGTGGGAGCTAATTTCCAATGGAATTGCGCTGTGTCTAGTTACGTCACTCGGTGGTTCCCACTGTCTTCCTTTTTTCGAACAGTTCAATTCTCATCTCCCACTTTTTCAGATGCAATCTCTTTTTGATTGCGAATCTACCTGGCATTCACCCACTTCGTTTTTTTAGACCCCTCCGAGCCGCTTCCGTACAGAGCACGGCGCCATACAGCGACAGCCGATGAATTGCTGTATCCGGCTGAGAACGTTGAGCCGACGTCTCCTAAAGAACCAGAAACAACAAAGCCGGAATCAGCCCCGGAGGAGGAGAAGAAAGAGAAAAAACAACGAGTGTAAGTCTCGACGAAAAGGTTGCCCACGTCACACTTTGTGGCATCTAAGAAGTTTTGAACCAAAATGAATCCGCACTTGTGAAATCTCATGTTGCATGCCGTTTTGTCCAACTCTGACGTGGGAGGGGCGAGGGGGATTGGTGGCGAAATATTGACACATAGTATAGGTATAGTTTTCGAAAAAAATGTTGAAATTTTAGGTAGATTATTTGATTGTGACTGACAGCTTTCTTTCCAAATGGCTTTTGTGCTGTGCACCCTACCAATGCTTTGCTCTTTCCGATTTCCCCCTGCACTCCTTTTAAGTCGGCTTTCTGCTGAAGACAGAATTCATCTGATTCTCTCATTTTTCCGTATTGCGAGTGTTTCCACAACGGGTTCCTACATCATGGCAAAACCCGCTCTGGTCAAAGCGGGTTTTCCCATGATGTAGGGGTCTTTTAGTAGCTTTAGCAAGGCGGAGAATGGGTATACAGTTTTTCATGGTTCAATTTACCACGGTCTCCAATTCACTAAGATTTTCCCTTTTCAATCTCTATTCGTTTTTGCTCGAACCCTTTGTCCGAGTGAAAATGAGCCCTGAGAGGGCAGAGCAGGATGGGTTCCCCTGAGCTGGGCTGCACAGCACCAAAGAGGCACATCTACCTTTCTAGGCTACTGGGACGAGCGTCGACTCCGGGTTTGACCACCGCCTAGTGCGTAGGCGGTCCCACTACACGCCTTCACACTTGGGACCGATTGCATGCAAACAAAATCATTGCTCACACTGAAAGGCCGACGATAATGGAATTTGCTCATCAATCGCTATACCGGGGCGTTACAGGGAAGAGGGTTTGGCGCGGCGCCAGCTCGTCTTCTTCCAACTGTTGTCGCTTGCCCGCCAACAAATGGTGGTGGTCAGGCTGGCGCCGCGTCGTACCAAGCTCCCGAACCTACCTTAGCGTATGCAGCGAAAACGGCTGGCTATACATATTTTTTGATTTATTTACAGTTTTAGATGAGTTATGTCTTCAACCATGCATGCCTTCACCATATAATGCTTCCTAACATTGCTAACGTGCTTTAGTTGTGATGTGTTTGTGTTGTAGTAGCTCGTAGTAGTGTGTTTTTGGGTTCAGTGATGCTGCTTCGTTGCTTCTCCAACCGTCAACGTCAAACATGCCACCATTGGCAACTACATCGACGGCATTCCGAAGGAATTCAAAATTCCGCAATACGATTGCAAATTTACCACCGAGACCATTGCGAGGTGTTCAACTGCCTTCGAGGCCGACGGCACTGAATGGCCATGGGTCTGGTCTTGTTGTTGTTGTTGTTTTATATTCAAACACTTACCTATTAGATTACAAATTCGCTTTCTTTCCTCTGACGTCCTTCAGCCGTTTTAAAGACAAACTGTCCATTCACCTTCAAGGACGGCTGTTTTCATGTGCGAGGTGGATCCCTGCTGCAGTATTGCGCCACTTTTTTCGCTTGAAAGTGCACGGGAACGACGGGAGAGTGGAGGGAACTAGCTGCTGTCTCCATACTCCGCACGCGATACCTTAATTGTGCAGCTTTTGCGTCGATACCGAAACTCCGCGGCGAAGAATGCACCCGGCGGCAGAGAGCAATCAGAAGTAAGGGGGATCGCGTTTGGCTGTGGGCGTGTGGCTAGCTGTGCAGCGGCGCGGCCTGAGGGATTAGGGAGACGGCCTTCATACAACAGAACCGTCTAGCCCCGTTTCTGCACACTCTTCTGCACACTTAGCCTTAATGCTAGTAGGGCGCTGTATAGTGGGGAAATGGCGAAAGAACGGAGTGAAACGGTCAAAATCCTGCGAAGAAAAAGCCTCCGTTCTCAGTGACTTGTAAATCGATTTCGGACGAGTTTCCCGTAGGCATCTTACCAATCACCGCTACCGAAGATACGGCTGCATATGTGTACCCATATATGCATGCAGCATCACGGCCGCTTCATACCAATCCCTTCGCTTCATAATTTGCAAATGAATGAATACGAGCGTCAGGAACGGTCGTCCATTTGTGGGCGGGCGGGCGGGCGTTTGGGACGTAAAGTTGTGGCTTGATAGGGCCCTTATAAGGGCACCTTCCTCGGGGAAACCGCTATGCAGCGCCTGCCCAGGGTCGCGGAATGCCAACTACCTTCAACAATGGACTCGGACATATCTGGATGTGGAAACGCGAGCTTATGGAGAAATACCTCAACATGGGTCTTCCATGTATTTTGCCAATTGCTCGGCGTAGGCATTGCTAGCTGGGCAGTGAGCAAAGTTCCTTCTTTACCACACCGCCCTACCCCTTGCCCTTGCAAGCCGTTCCGAACTACTCTGTGAGTATTTGTAGGTTTAACCCTGGTGAAATACGTTCGTGCTCCTCAGCGGTTGGTGAGGTCCCGGCCCTCGCGCTCCTCAGCAGTTGGTGGGGTCCCGGCCCTCGCGTCCCTCAGCAGTTCGTGAAGACCCTGCTTTTGCGTTCCTCGGCAACTGTCGAGGTCTGCCTCTCCCTTAGAGCATTCCTTCTTAATTAAGTGTTTTTTTTGCGTAAATCCGGATCGCATTCTGTGGCGAACCCTCTATGAAGCGGTTTTTTTATATGAAGATATTCTTGTGGTGAAGTAGATTTTTAACAAATATATTAATACTATTCTAATCTATCGATTAATATTGTGTGCTTTTGTCACGTAACTATGTTGTTGTGCTAGATGGTGGTTGTAGTTGTGTTTAGTAATCTGGGTGGCCGAATGCTTTCATCATCTCGCCTTCCGTCATTGGCTGAAGTTCCTGTGGGCGGTGAAGACGCGCCCATGTCGTCCGTCCGTGAACGGGCCGGCTCGGACCATTCAACTCGGACCACAAAGTCCGTATTTGCGCGTCTGATACCGTGGACAACCGAAGCCAGTCCTTCAACGCTTTTGAATCGGTCTGACTTACTATCTACGGTTGATTTTTCGTGGCCACTATTTTCATGGCTACTCGCTGATGAGGGCATGCGTCTTCAAGGCCACGCCCCTCACTAATCATCAGGAATGGTCAGCGAGCAGTACTGAAAATAATAGCCGCGCATCTGATTTTCTGTTTTTATTACTAATACAGTTAATATTTCTACTAGAGCCGTAAATAAAACAGCACTGTTTGGTTCAATTTACCTTGAAGCTATTGCTGCTCATTAGATTCGCTCCCTTGGTTGCAAAATGCTTACTTCTCTATAATGCGCTTAATTTCTTCCCTTTATCGGGATTCTGGAGAGATTATTTCTGCTCGTTCAGTAGATTCAGATTGTGCGTAAAATTGCTGTCAGCAGTTTGATTTCAACGACACAGTCCACGCTGATCTTATGGGCGGAGACGAGACTGATGTTCATTGTTCATTGTTCATTAGTGCGCTTCTTCTTCGGCGTTGAAATGAAGGATGCACCAATGAAAGATGCACTGTTCTTCTTTATTTATGCCCATATGATCACCATGGTCTGCACCTTTAAGTCCTCTTAAAATGTAATTCATAGGAATTATAGAAAGTGATGGTCATGAAATTTTGCACGATTTCATCTAATCACTGTTATTTCAGAAGGCAAGGTCGTATTGTTCCCGCACGACCAGGTACTGGTGGGCAGTATCGGGTAGTGACACGAACAGCTACTGTAGAAGGACATTCAAAAGCTGTCCTCTCAGTGGCTGCCACCGATGAACTTCTTCTCTCTGGATCCAAAGGTGTGTATTCTCTTATGAAAGGACGAAAAGTGTAATTTTCGAACCACGACTTATTATCCTACTATTAGGGTGTCCGGAAAGTTTTGAGAAAATTCGGTCATTTTATTCAACACATATTAACAACAAGAAAAGCGAAAAATCAGTAATCAAGATAGTGGCCCTTCTTAGCCACGACGTCTCTCCACCGATTGGGCAGGGCATCGATACCTTCCTTCCAGAAGGAAGCAGGCCGGGACGCAATCCATTCATCGACCATACGCTTGACATCCTGATGGTTGTTGAACATCTTACCCGTAGCGTAAGCCTGGAGACTCCTGAAAGCATGGTAATCACAAGGGCTAAGGTCAGGTGAATACGGAGGATGGGGCAGCCATTCGATTCCTAAATTCTCCAGCTCGTCCCTTGTCGCCTTCGCATGATGTGGTCGGGCGTTGTCCATGACGATGTGAAACTTGCCCCGGTATTGATGGGAAACTGGAGCTCGGGACACCAGCTCTCGTAGTTGCTCACAGAATATCGATGATGTTACAGTAGTACCCTCATGAAGAATCTCATAGTAAATGCAGCCGGTGGAGCAGAAGAAAAACGAGAGCAAGTCCTTCTTGGCGTGGCAGCCTCGCTTTGGAACGGGCTCCGCTTTTAGCTCAACGGCAGCCACTCCAGTTTTCTATCCGAGTTTTCGTACGAGATCTTCTT